CCCCCAAAGTACGTGTTCATTCAGAGTGGGTTTGATTCAGTTGCTGGTTTTATAGTCTCAATGGCCTGGGTTGGAAGGAACTTTAGGTCACCTCGAAGCCTTCTCCTTTCCAGGCTGAACAACCCCAGTTCTCTCAGCCTTTCCTCATAGGAGAGGTGCTCCATCCCTATAATCAGCTAGGTGGTCCTCCTCTGGACTCACTCTAACACATCCATGTCCTTCCTGTGCTGGGGACCCCAGAGCTGGATGTAGCACTCCCACTTGAGTTCTCACCACAGCGGACTAGAGGGGCAGAATCCCCTCCCTTGCCCTGCTGGCCACACTGCTTTTGATGCCGCCCAGGACACAGTTGGCTTTCTGGGCTGCCAGAGCACATTGCTGGGCCATGTTCTGTCTCTCATCCACCAGCACACCCAGGTCCTTCTCAGCAGGGCTGCTCTCGATCTGAGAGCCACTTGAGCTGTCGTCTACCCCCCGACTCATGCTCCCGTTTTACTTCTCAGTGTGATGGAGTCCCTCTGGCCAGCCCGGCCCAGGGCAGTGGCTTCGGACCAAGCTGATTATATGCTTAGAATATAAAATATTTTTATATATTATATATAACATTTCTTATATAATAAGATATAACTGAATACCAAATGTTAATATATTTTAATTGCTATCTGAAGTCCAGTAAAAATCCACTTTTTTTTTTAATGTATACTGCACATATAAGAAATGTGTCTTTATTGTATTTAAAAAGTTTACTCAGTTATATCTGCAATTCCTATTGATTTTCATCTTGTATCATCCTAGTTCTTTAGTCGTAATTTCCTTTTGGAGGTGTCTTGTTACCTGTTTAAGAACTTCAGCCACGGGTCTACTTGCTGAAAGGTCAAATCAAAAGATGTGTAACACAGAGCAGCTACAGTTCCAACTCTGTTGCTTGCTATACTCTGGTCTACAGTTGCAGCAGAGGTAAAATGGCATTTCAAGCACCATGGCTCTCATGTACTCCTTGAATAGTCCTTGGCCAAGAATGTACCCAGAAGCCAGGTCTTTGATGCTTAATATTTTTTAATTAAATAAGCCCATAAGTTAGAACATGCTACTGAATGCAATACAGACTGATAATTCATGGATGTTGGACTTACTATAAAATAAGTGAAAACAAATATAATAGATTATTTTTGTAGAGTAATGTATCTAGTTTAACTGTGTCTTTAGTAAGGAAAATAATGTGTATTTTCTCTTACTCACTAGGAATAGTTCATACATACCAGTTGCGACTTAAACATGGCCATTTTTTCAAATGTTGCAATGTAGTTTAAGTGTAACTTCCAGTATTTCTTACTCTGAAAGTGTGAGAAAGGCTCACCTTCACTTAACGTAGGTGGACCTTTTCATGTTTCTTTCCTCCTTGAAGCTGGCTTGGTTTTGCCTCAAAAGTCTGAAAAATGCTCCTTCATGTATTTCTGCATTGTGAGACCAGAACAATGTACACTCAATACAGTGTTTCACTCAGTACGTGTATGCACACACACACACTCGGTGCAATAAGTTTTGGACCTCAGATTTAACCATGTGAATTATCATGACTATTCAAGCTTAGTACAGCGTGTACTTGGCATAGAAGCCTGCAGCAAAACCAACCCACACAACCCTTTTGAGCTACATGCACACAGGGGTGTTTCTGGTTTGTTTTTCACTAGTTTCCCAAGGAAGCCAGGCTTACACACTCATCCTCTGTATATTTGTGTTTCAATTTACTAATTGCAGTCAAATTCGACAGAGAGCAAGAGCATTAAGAAATGGATTTTTCATTAAGCTTGTGCAAAAAAGGGTGTGATTAGAGAAAGATAAAATCTTAATCGTATAATTTCAGGAAAAGCTACAGCATGAGCTCAGGTCTCATTGGACATCAGAGAATCCACAGAGGGAGAAGTTGTTCTATGTAATCTACCCATCAGAAATGCTTTAGTCATAGCTCACACTTTACTATACCCTACACGATTAATTCCTCAACCAAGATTCTTCTCAGACATGAATATGCA